TCCATCCATCATCCATCCATCCATCCATCCATCCATCCATCCATCCATCCATCCATCCTCCAATCCCCATGGAACATTTCTTCTCCCAGCCATGCCCAGCACAAACCTTCTCCTCAGGACCCCCAAGCCATCCTCATTCCTGCTGACCAGCCATGAGTTTTGTTTTTGGAAACAATTCCATCCCTCCTCCCCTTCCCTTTCCCCTCTCTGAATTTCGGGAGCAGGTGGCTGCTGTGAACGCCGAGGACCCTCCTCCAGAAGTCGTGGCCGCTCACGACCACCGGATTCAGCTTTTGTGCCACGCTCGGCAGCCCCAGGGACTCCTGGACAGGTGAGTTCACATCTCAGCTGCTCCTGACGGTGGCACTCGACTCGGGCGGAATTTTGTCACATCCACGGGGACATTTCTCCAGAGGAGAACTCCTGCTGGATCCCACCAGCAGCCTGGGAACGAGGCAAACCTGATTTGGGCCAAATTGACGATGAAACGGAGCTCCTCGTTCTCCTCTAAAGTCCGAGACAGGTCGGCCACGGCTCCGCTGCCGTTCCTCCACCTCTCGGAGCAGATGGGCGTCTACACCACAAATGAGAGATGCAAAATTCCTCTCCGTGCCCAAAAAAAAATATGGAAAAATCCCTGGAGGCAGCAGAGCGTCTGCACCACAAATGAGGGATGCAAAATTCCTCTCTGTGCCCAAAAAAAAATATGGAAAAATCCCTGGAGGCAGCAGAGCGTCTGCACCACAAATGAGAGATGCAAATAATTTATATTTAATAATATAATTATTATTATTACATAATTTATATTTAATATAATAATAACAATAACAATAACAATAACAATAATAATAATAATAATAATAATAATAATTTTGGCTGCAGTGGCCACTGAGATCAACCTTTGTACCCCACACCACATTTTGGTGCTGAATTAATTCACAACTGAGTATCCTGATGGAAAAATCCAGGGTTTATTCACTCAGAAATTTGTATTTTTATTGTGACCGCCCCAAAAATTGTTAATGATGCCTGGAGCGTTGGCTGGTGCTCAGCTGGAGAGTCATTAATGAAATCTTCCTAATGATTATTGCCCTTTCCACCCTAAAAAAAGATTTTTGGAACCAGATTGGGGGCGTTCATTTGCATCTCTCTTTCTCCATCAGGATACAATTAATTCTGAGTTAGTGATATCTTTATTATTGCAAATAAAACCTGAAAACAAAGCAAAAAAAGTTTTATTCTTGCCTGCCCTGCAGGCACAAAACATTGAATTTCCTATTCTTTTCTTAACTCCCTCAATTTGTGATTTTATCTGTGATTATGTGGTAACACACGAGTGAATATTATTATGAATATATTATGAATATTATGAATATTAGGCAGGTGACATTTGAAAATGTTGCTCAGCTACATGGGAAACAGAAATTTAATTTAATCTCCAGTTTGTTGGGCTAGGACAACACAATTTTTGGTACCTGCCTGTTGAGGAGGAGCCCAATCAGAGAAGGATCAGAGCATGATTCTTCTTTGACAATTAAAAGAATTAATCATTGGAACAATTTACCAAGAGTTCTCCACAACTGGAAGGTTTTTAATTAAAACAGGATTTCATGGAACCCCAGGTATTGGGCTGGAAACAGGAACCAACTTGGGGAATTCCAAGTGGGAAGAGGAGAGGGGATTTAGATCATCAAAATAATCCCTTCTGGCATTAAAATTTATTAATCTCTCACAGCAGTGCCTGCAAAGATTAAAAAAAATTTGAATTATGAGCACAAAACTTTTCCAGAATTTTCTCCCAAGCTGTAGGAACCCCAAAACTTTTTGTGTTGAGAACCAAGAAGTGGTAACGTGATGAAGGACAGGACAATGGAAATGTTCTCCTGATGAAATCCTAAATCCCAGAAATGTGAGGACACAGAGAATTGGGAATTTATTGAAGAGAATTTGAATTTTGAGCGTGATCTGATCAAGGGATGATTTATTGGGTGTAACATTTCCTCACAGAAGGAAAGGTTCCAAAGGAATTTTGCATTTTCCAAGCCTGAAACAGGAACCAACTTGGGGAATTCCAAGTGGGATGAGGGGAAGATGGTTGAGATCATCCAAATAATCCATTCTGGCCTTAAAAATTATTAATCTTTCACAGCAGTGCCCACAAAAATAAAGAAATTTGAATTATGAGCCCAAAACTTTTCCAGAATTTTCTCCCAAGCTGTAGGAACCCCAAAACTTTTTGTGTTGAGAACCAAGAAGTGGTGACGTGATGAAGGACAGGATCATGGAAATGTTCTCCTGATGAAATCCTAAATCCCAGGAATGTGAAAACATGGGGAACTTGGAATTTATTGAAGAGAATTTGAATTTTGAGCGTGATCTGATCAAGGGATGATTTATTGATGCCAGAGGAATTCTGTATTTTCCAAGCCTGAAACAGGAACCAACTTGGGGAATTCCAAGTGGGATGAGGGGAAGATGGTTGAGATCATTCAAATAATCCATTCTGGCATTAAAATTTATTAATCTCGCACAGCAGTGCCTGCAAAGATTAAAAAAAAATTGAATTATGAGCCCAAAACTTTTCCAGAATTTTCTTCCAAGCTGTAGGAACCCCAAAACTTTTTGTGTTGAGAACCAAGAAGTGGTGACGTGATGAAGGACAGGATTATGGAAATGTTCTCCTGATGAAATCCTAAATCCCAGAAATGTGAGGACACAGAGAATTGGGAATTTATTGAAGAGAATTTGAATTTTGAGTGTGATCTGATCAAGGGATGATTTATTGGGTGTAACATTTCCTCACAGAAGGAAAGGTTCCAAAGGAATTCTGACTTTTCCAAGCCTGGGTCAGGTCCTGTGCTGGGAGAAGGAAAAAATTCTTTATTTTTAGGATTGGGGAGGCCCTGTCACAGGATTCCCAAAAACTTCCCCATCCCTGGAATTGTCCAGGCTGGCTGGAGCTTGGAGCCCCCTGGGATGGTGGAAAATGTTGGGAAGGTTTGGGTTGAGATGGGCTTTAAATTCCCATTCCATGATTTTATGTGGAAAGCAAAAGTTCTTTTTTTCCCAGTCCTGCCTTGCCAGGATTATTCACAAAAATCAATAACTTCAGAAAAAACAAAACAAAACAAAAAAACCCCCAAACAAACCCCCCCAAAAAACCCAAAAAAACCAAAAACAAAGAAAAACAAAACAAAAAATTCTGCAACATCCTCACCAATTTTGAGCCCTTACCCACTTCAGCTTTTTTCTTTGAAAAGATTATTTTAGAACGGATTTTTAACATGTATTTTTACCTTCTGCAGGATTTTAATGTATTGTGCTAATCAGCTTTTTTGCTAATTATATCCATGTATTCTGGTAGGTTACAGAGCTGCTTTGCTGCTTCCATGATTTTGGAATTTTTTTTCCTCGGAATGTTGTCCTTATTTCTGAAAGAATGAGTTGTTTGTGAGAGGGATGCTAAAATAAATGTATTCTCTTTTAAAAGTATATTATAAAATAGAGATATGCAATAAATAATATATAAATATATATTATATTGTAAATATATTGTCTTTACAGGTGTCTTTGTTCACCTGTTTTAAAATCCAATGGACACAGAGGCAGTTTTCTTTCATTTAAAATTTAATTAAAACTACTTATTAATTAAAAACCACCGAGTTTGGAATTATTTCAGTTATTCCTGCCGCATTTCCAAGTGGCCCAATCTTAAAATTTACCTGAGATTTAAACATTAATTTTAAAAAATTACGAATTAATTTAAAATTTTATTTTTGCTTCATTCTCCCACTTACAGCTGGAAGTGGAAAACCTGAGGATTTAATTCTCAGCTCAGCATGGAAAAATTTCGTATTTTTGCAGCGCTTTGGATTTTTTAATTATGTTTTTATTGGTGTTCAGTGAAGTTTTAAGGATCTGAGTGGGTTTTTTCTATTTAATTGAAGATTTTTTACACCTTTGCCCAGCACAGGACACGGAAATCAAGGAAGTCACGCAGGAGAGTGGAAAAATCTGTAAGATTAAATTTATTCCAGTTATCCTGCTCATTAAAATATTCCCACCTCTGGGAAAAATAAAAAAACCTTTAGAAAAGGCTTCAAATCAGGTGAGATCAGAGTAAAAATAACATTATTCCTTTTGAAAAACAGAAGTAATTTCATTTAATGCAGATTTTTCTGCTATTTTTACACTCGGAACACCTGAATTTTTGTCCTCGCTGTGAACAAGGTGAGATGAGTTGAAGGGGTGAGAAAACCTCTGCCAAGCTTTGACTGAAATTTGATTTTTTTAGGTGATTTAATGGCCTCTGGTGTGTTTTTTTTGCAGCACTTTGCCTGGTTTTGGTGACCCCTACCCCATGCTGGTGTTACTGGGCCCTGTGGCCGGGGGGAGGAGGCAACTTGCTCTCAAAATCTGCAGAAAATTCAAGAATTTCTTCAGATTTGGGTAAGTTCTGCTCCCCGAGCTCAAAAACGACACCCGAGGATCAAGGTTGGAATTGCTGCTGGTTTGGTTTGTGGGTTTTTGTTTGTAAAGAAGTTAAAAACCAAGAATTTTGCTGTGTTTTTGTCTAATCCCGAAGTTATTAATGAGAGAAAAGGTGTTTAAATGATCAAATTGTTTTTGAAGGTGAACAGAAAACAGAACAAATATATTAAAACACAAATCAAAGCATAAAACAAGCAACCTAAAACCAATTAAATGAATTAAAATCACAAACCAAAGCATAAACAAGCAACCTAAAACCAATTAAATGAATTAAAATCACAAACCAAAGCATAAACAAGCAACCTAAAACCAAATGAACAAATTAAAATCACAGACCAAAACATAAACAAGCAACCTAAAACCAATTAAATGAATTAAAATCACAAACCAAAACATAAAAAAAAGCAACCTAAAACCAAATAAACAAATAAAAATCACAAATCAAAGCATAAAACAAGCAACCTAAAACCAATTAAATGAATTAAAATCACAAACCAAAACATAAACAACCTAAAACCAAATAAACGAATTAAAATCACAAACCAAAGCATAAAAGCAAAAACTGGAACAAACATAAAAAAAACAGAAACCAAAACAGAAAAAGCCAACAAAACAAAAAACACAATTAAAAAAAATAATAAAAAAAACGCAGACCAAAACAAAAAAAAAAACCAAACCCACAAAAAAACCCCAAAAAAACACAATCAAAAACAACTACAAACCAAAACAAGAAAAACCCAAATCCCCCAAAAAACACAAACAAAAAACCCCAAAACCAACCAAAAAGCCCAAAAATCCCAAAAAGAACAAAAAACCCACAATAAATCCTAAAGAAAAAAAAAATCTCAAAAAACTCTCAAACAATCAAAAAAAATCACAATAAAAAAATTAAAGAAATCAAAACTCAATAACCTGCTCTGCATTCCCTTTTTCCTCATTTATTTATCCATTAATTTTCTATTTTAAGGGGAAAAGTCTGTTATGCCACTGTCAAAATTCCTTTTTTATCCCCTTTTTTTAAAACTCATATCTTAGAAATTACAAATTCAACTCCATTTGAAATTTTCCAAGCATTCTGTGAGGGTAATTTTTGGTTTTTTGGGGTTTTTTTAAGAGCATTTTTTCATTGCATATTTTATTCCCTACAACTTCCATGAATGAGGGTGAAAATTAAAAAAAAAATTAAAAAAAAAGGAATAGATCCTTAACAGTGCAGAAAATTACAGCCATAAAGCAATTTTTATTTTTTAATTATTCAGGGGAGATTTGAGCAATTTTCTGCCTGGGAATTTCGACCATTGTGCTCATTAAAAATGGATTTTATGCAAGATACTCTGGCAGTCTGAGTGTAAACATGGCCTTGCAATTAAAAAGGGCTGAAAAGTGTAAAAATTACAGGAAATCAAATTAAATTGGGCCCTCCAACCATCTGGCTGGTGCTCAGCAGTGACCTTTGGAGCTGGGTGTGTTTGGTGTTATCCCAAAAAAAAATCAGGAATTTTACAGAGTCCGTGTGGAACTCGCTGCTCTCATTTTTTTGGGGGGTAAAAAGGTCCAACCCCTGAATTTTTCTGAATTTCTGACTGGTTCCCAGCCCAGTTCTCTGGAAAAAATAAGAGAAATGCAAAGTAGAAATGAGGAGAAAAATCAGATTTTTCAAACAGAACCAGACCCGCTGAATACTGCAGTAATAAATTATCACCTGCATTAATAATCTGATTTTTGGGGGTTTTTAGTGGGTTTTTAGTGTTTTACCCTAGTGGCTGAGGTTTATCCTTTCCCTGCCTTTATTCCCACTGGAATGGCAAAGCAGAAAAGAGGGGAAAAATCTGATTTTCAAACAGAACCAGACCCACAGAATACTGCAGTAATAAATTATCACCTGCATTAATAATCTGATTTTTGGGGGCTTTAGTGGGTTTTTAATGTTTTACCCCACTGGCTGAGGTTTATCCTTATGGGATGTCAGGAATTCTTTCCCAGCCTTTATTCCCACTTGATGGCAAAGCAGAAAAGAGGAGAAAAATCTGATTTTCAAACAGAGCAAGAATCTGTTAATACTTGAGATTCAAATAATTACCTGCATTAATTAGCTGGGTTTTGGGTTTTTTGGGGGGATTTTTAGTGGGTTTTTATTGTTTTACACCAGTGGCTGAAGTTTATCCTTATGGGATGTCAGGAATTCCTTTCCCAGCCTTTATTCCCACTGGAATGGCAAAGCAGAAAAGAGGAGAAAAATCTGATTTTCAAACAGAACAAGAGTCTGTTAATACTTGAGATTCAAATAATTACCTGCGTTAATTAGCTGGGTTTTGGGGTTTTTTAGGGGACTTTTTAGTGGGTTTTTAGTGTTTTATCCTAATTTGAAGCTGAGCCTGCTGAAATTTTTACCTTCCCTGCCTTTTATCCCACTTTTTTCCCCACTTTCAGCATTGTTTCTCCCCTTCCCATTAGACATCTATTTAAAAATTGCACTTTGCAGCTCTTTCTTAACCTCACGGCTCAGCCCAGCTCCTTTCCCACATTTAGGATTTTGCCTTTCTGTCATCCCCAGGCTGACAGAACTGGGAAAAAAAAATGGATTCATCATTTCTCCGCGCCAGGCTGCCGTGCCTGCTCCAGCTCAGGCCACGCTGGGCTGGGGAGGGATTTATAGCCAAAATTTCACTTTTCTTTGCTGTATTTATGGGTTAATCTTTCATACACGCAGCATCCAGGGGTGTGATTTGCACCTCTTTTTATTTCTCCTATTTCTTTGCTGCTTTAAAAATAAAATTATTTATCGTTTCCCTGCTTTCCCCCCCCACACACACACCTCCCACATCTATTGCAGAGCTGCTGCAGGGATTGAAAATTGGTTATTTCTTTATTCTCCCATAAATCTCCCAGGCCCTGTCACACCACCAGGACAGCTTATTTTGGGGAAGAAAACAGATTCGATTATTATTTCATTTCTCAAGAAGAATTTGGCAAAATGGTGGAAGCTGTAAGTACCTGACTCCTGTCCTTGTAGCTTTTTTCCTTCTCCCATAGTGAACTCAGCTTCTCTGTCCAGCCTGATTTATTTTTATTTTATTTTTTACATTAGCTTCGTGCCTGGGTGTGAATGTTTATTCACTCTCAGTTGTGTTTTTAAGTTTATAGACAGAAACCACCAATTTCTTGTAGATTTGTGCTGTCTTTTCCCCTGTAAATGAATTTATAGAAACCACCAGTTAGGCAAAATGGCCAGTGGGGAATATTTAAATAATGGTATAACATAGAAATAAACTTATTTTCAGGCACAAATGTAGCGTGGGGTTTATTGGTTTTATTTTTTCAACGTTTTCCAGCAACCCAGCAGGGAATTCCTTGGAAGTTTAGCAAATCCCCCCTAAAGGAGTGAGTTTTCTCAGAAGGATTTCTGCCTCCAGCTGCTCTTTCTGATGCCTTCTGCAACAAAACTTTGCCCTGAAAAGCCACAAAAAAGCCCTTTATTTGTGTTGATACCAAAGGGGGAAGCCAGCAGAGCCTGAAACAACTGAGCTGACCCTTCATGATAACAATAATCAAGGAGTTCAATTTTAAAAACATCAAATAAATCTGCTTCCATCTCTCCAGGGCTGCAAATTTGAAATCCCCGCGCCAACTCCAGTTGCAGTTTTTCCTTTTCCTTGAAATCTCCCATTATTTTTTTTGGATAAATCCACCAGTAGGAAGCCCCTTGCTTTGGATTTTCCTTTCCAGTGGGAAGGAATAACCCAGGAACGCCGCCAGCACTTTGTTCCAGGATTTTGGAATTTGATTATCCACGGACAAGGCTCAAGCTGATTTTGGTGCCCTCATTAACGCCGACCTGAAACAGGAAGAAACTTGGCAGGGAGAGAAATCAGGGAAACCCAAAGCGTTTCACTCATTTGAGGACGTTGTTCCCCTTGGAATCTTTCCCTTGGAGTGATCCTCGTTTTCTGAATTTCAGGGGAAATTTCTGGCAACCTACAAATACGGCGGGCACAGCTACGGGCTGGCGAGGGACACGGTGGAGTCCATCGCCAGGGAGGGGCTGGCGACCTGCGTGCACCTGGAGATAGAGGTGAGCATCCCCTGCCCGGGACATTCCTGCATGGAATTTGGGACAGGACAAAGGGAACGGCCTCAGGTTGTGCCAGGGGATGATTTATTAAAAAAAAAATAAATATAGGGATATTGATCTAGTATCGATCCAGCTGCGATGGATAAAAAACTCTCTTAACGGTTTAAAGTTGGAAAGTGATTTATTAAAAAATATGGGTATTGGTCTAGTACCGATATCCAACTGTGAGGGGTAAAAACTCTCTTAATGGTTTAAAGTTGGAAATTGATTTATTAAAAAAATGTGGATATTGATCTGGTACCGATATCCAACTGTGAGGGGTAAAAACTCTCTTAACGGTTTAAAGTTGGAAATTGATTTATTAAAAAAATGTGGATATTGATCTGGTACCGATATCCAACTGTGAGGGGTAAAAACTCTCTAACGGTTTAAAGTTAGAAAGTGTGTGTTTATTGTGTGTGGGATAACTTCCAAATAGATACTGCACCTTCCAGGTGATTACAGAGTCTTTTTATTCATACAAGTATTGAATACCCAAAATACAAATCCATATCCATAATTTTGGTATATCCCAAATCCACTCTGCAGCTTCCAGGAGATTACAGAGCCCTTTTATCCATATAAATATTGACTACCCAAAAATACAAATAAATATTCATAATTTTGGTACATCCCATTACCAAATCCACACTGTGCCTTTCAAATTATTAGAGTCCTTTTATCCATACAAGTACTGAATACCCAAAATACAAATCCATAATTTTGGGACATCCCATTCCCAAATCCACACCGTGCCTTCCAAGTGATTACAGAGTCTTTTTATCCATCCAAGTATTGAATACCCAAAATACAAATACAAATCCATAATTTTGGTATATCCCAAATCCACACTGCAGCTTCCAGGAGATTACAGAGCCCTTTTATCCATATAAATATTGACTACCCAAAAATACAAATAAATATTCATAATTTTGATACATCCCATTACCAAATCCACATTGTGCCTTCCAAATTATTAGAGTCCTTTTATCCATACAAGTACTGAATACCCAAAATACAAATCCATAATTTTGGTACATCCCACTCCCAAATCCACACCGTGCCTTCCAAGTGATTACAGAGTCTTTTTATCCATCCAAGTATTGAATACCCAAAATACAAATACAAATCCATAATTTTGGTACATCCCAAATCCACACTGTGCTTTCCAAATTATTAGAGTCCTTTTATCCATACAAGTACTGAATACCCAAAATACAAATCCATAATTTTGGTACATCCCATTCCCAAATCCACACCCTGCCTTCCAGGTGATTACAGAGCCCTATTATCCATATAAATATTGACTACCCAAAAATACAAATCCATATCCATAATTTTGGTACATCCCATTCCCAAATCCACACCGTGCCTTCCAGGTGATTAAATGATAAATATTTATCATTTTTATTATCATATTTATCAATGATAAATATTATATCATATTTATATTGATATATCATATTATATGATATATCATATTATATCATTTATATGATATATCATATTATATCATATTTATCAATTATAAATATTTATCATTTTGGTACATCCCGTTCCCAAATCCACACCGTGCCTTCCAAGTGATTACAGGGCCCTATTATCCATCCAAGTATTGACTACCCAAAAATACCAATAAATATTCATCATTTTGGTACATCCCATTCCCAAATCCACGCCGCAGCTTCCAGGTGATTACAGAGCCCTTTTATCCATATAAACATTGAATACCCAAAAATACAGACACACATTCATCATTTTGGTACATCCCATTCCTCGCTTCATATGCTAATCATTTCCTATGCAAATCAGTTTTTGTCCCTTGAAATGGGTCGGTGTCCCTTTCATGGGGAGGGGTCCCAAAATGAGGAATTAAATGAAGTTTTCCTCCTTCTGACCTTTTCAATGCCAACATGACAAATGAACTCTTGGTACAATTCCCATTCTTGTCTTCATTTGGTTTCAGAACAGAGGAGGCCCACGATTGTTTTATGTTCCTAAAATCTATTTGACAGTTTCTGTATTCTTCATTATAATTTCTTCATTAAATTCCTCATTATAAACCCAGCTAACTAAACATTGTGCTGACAAGCAATCAATTATTAGTTAACTCCTAACTCCATCAAGGCCTACTCATTTATTTTAATTAACTCTAGTAAGGCTTATCTCTAACTAAAATCTTAGCTCCTCTAAAATCTCTAAATTCCTTAAAATTTACGTTTCATCCCTTCCTGCCATTTGCAAGCTCTTTTCCATGGTTTTGGTTAATTTTTAGCCACTGTCACATAAAACCTCATCCGAGTTTTGTATCTGAAAACAAGAATTGTGAGTTATGGGTGGGGATGGAAGGTGCTGAGTCCTTTATTTGCCACGGGGCTCAGAACAAAAGTGATTTAGCAGCATTAAAGGAAATTTTAATTAGGGGCCGTGGGCTGAGACTGGAAATTGAGAGCTTCATTCCCTTTAATCTGGAGTGTATCTTGGGCTGATAAAGGAGAATTACACCAATTTTTAAAGTCCAAATCTTGCTGAGCCTGCACTTGCAGAGTGGCTTCTGCAAGGCTGACACTCAGTTCTGTTTTAAATAAAATAAAATAAAATAAAATAAAATAAAATTAAATTAAATTAAATTAAATTAAATTAAATTAAATTAAATTAAATTAAATTAAATTAGATGTTGGTGATGCTTCCCCTTTGCTCTGCTAGCCACCAATGCCTGCAGAGCAATTTCCAGCCAATAATTCGGGATAAACCCAGAGGGAAAAAAAAACCAAAACTCAGCTACAAGTTCAACAAACACTCAATTTCAAGAATAAACCCTTATGGTTTTTTTCTGCATTATTTTCAAGGAGAAAAAACTCAGCTACAAGTTCAACAAACACTCAATTTCATGGAAAAAAAAAAACCTTTTTTTTCCATGAAAGTCTTGTTTTTCAGGGAGAAAAAACACAGCTCCAAATTTAACAAACACTCAATTTCAATAATAAAAACACCGTTTTTTCTGCTTTATTTTCAGGGAGAGAAAAATTGAACTCCAAATTCCACAAACACTCAATTTCAATAAAACCACCACTGATTATTTCTGCTTTATTTTCAAGGATAAAAAACTGAGCTTCAAGTTCAACAACCATTCCATTTTATTTAAAAAACCCTGTGTTTCTCTGCTTTATTTTCAAGGAGAAAAAACTGAACTCCAAATTCCACAAACACTGAATTTCAAGAAAAAAAAAACACTATTTATTTCTGTTTTATTGTCAAGGAGAAAAAACCCATCTCCAAATTCCACAAACACTCAATTTCAATTAAAAACCACTGTTTTTTTCTGCTTTATTTTCAAGGAGAAAAAACTGAGCTCCAAATTCCGCACTCAATTTCAAGAAAAAAAACACTGTTTTCTCTGCTTTATTTTCAAGAGAAAAAATTCAGCTCCAAATTTAACAAACACTCAATTTCATTAAAAAAAACCCACTGTTTTCTCTGCTTTATTTTCAAGGAGAAAAAGCTGGGCTCCTTGTTCAACAAACACTCAATTTCATGGAAAAAACACCTTTTAAATCTTGTTTCCCAGGGAGAAAAAAACTCACCTCCAAATTTAACGAACACTCAACTTCAAGAGTAAAACCACATTTTTTTCTTGTTTTTCAGGGAGAAAAAATTTAATGAACACTCAACTTCAAGAGTAAAACCACATTTTTTTCTTGTTTTCCAGGGATAAAAAACTCACCTCCAACTTCAACGAACACTCGACTTCAAGAGTAAAACCACATTTTTTTCTTGTTTTTCAGGGAGAAAAAACTCACCTCCAACTTCAACGAACACTCAACTTCAAGAGTAAAACCACATTTTTTTCTTGTTTTCCAGGGAGAAAAAACCCACCTCCAACTTCAACAAACACTCAACTTCAAGAATAAAACCCTGTTTTTTCCCTGCTTTCTTTTCAAGAGTCTCGCCAAAACAAAAACCAATTTATTTTTTTTCCTGCTTTCTTTTCCAGAGCAAAAAGCTTCCGATTCCACAGAGTCTCGCCAAAAAAATAAACCAATTTATTTTTTTTTTCCTGCTTTCTTTTCAAGGGTGTCCGTAGCTTGAAGAACACCTACTTCCAACCCAGGTACGTGCTGTTGGTCCCCAGGGATAAATGGAAATACGGGGAGCGCCTGAGGAGGACGGGATTGTTCAGCAGGACGGAGATCGCCGAGGCGCTGGCCAGAGTGGACACGTACCTGCAAATAAATCAGGATTTCCCGGGATACTTCCACGCTCTCATCAACACGGGTGAGCTCCTTTCCTTTGGGGTCGTTGGGAATGGAGGGGCAGGAATTTTAGCTGCTTTTTTTCTTTGCCAGGGTTGGGGTTAAATGTGATATTTTTTGTTGGGACTCAGATGTTTATTGGTTCTTATCTCCGTCATGGTCTCACCAATTGTGAGTTCTACAGCACTTCAAGAAACTAAAAATGGAGCCCCATTTCTCTCTCTACAAGGCCTTTTAAAAATAAACTAATTAAGAAATGGCACCTAAATTATTTTATTGTTATTAGTTCTTATCTCTGTCACAGTCTCGCAAACTGTGAGTTCTGCAGCACTTCAATCCAACAAACCAAAAATGGAGCCCCATCTCTCTCTACAAGGCCTTTTAAAAATAAACTAATTAAGAAATGGCACCTAAATTATTTTATTGTTATTAGTTCTTATCTCTGTCACAGTCTCACAAACTGTGACTTCTGCAGCACTTCAACAAACTAAAAATGGAGCCCTATTTCTCTCTCTACAAGGCTTTTTAAGGATAAACTAATTAAGAAATGACACCTCAATTATTTTCACTTTCAACACAATAACCAACCACCCGTGCCCCTCAATGTGGACTTTTAAAACCACCCAAACCCATGGAGAAGGAGGTGAAGAAGGACAAACCTCTGCCCCAAAATCTCCATTTTGTTTTATATTTATTCCTGTATTCTAAACCCTTAAACTCTGAGTTTCCCACCCTGTGCTATCACACACTTCTATCCAAACTCCACACCTGTAATCTCAATTTTATTACTGAATTTTGGAAATTTCCACAGCCTCAGGTCAGTGCAGAGTTCTCCTGGGGTCAGTGCCTGGCAGCACAGAAATCTGGAATTCTCAGCAGCTTCCAAGAAGTTAATTGCTGATTTCCTTTGG